AGGTATGGGGATCATGCGACTGGCTCCTCTTGGATGAATATGGAATGGTCTATCCATTGGTACCCTAAGTTATACCCAATACTTCTGAGTATGGGGGATCATGCGACTCGCTCCTCTTGGATGAATATGGAATGGTTTATCCATTGGTACCCTAAGTTATACCCAATACTTCTGGAGTATGGGGGATCATGCGACTCGCTCCTCTTGGATGAATATGGAATGGTTTATCCATTGGTACCTTAAGATATAGCCAATACTTCTTGGTATGGGGATCATGCGAATCGCTCCTCTTGGATGAATATGGAATGGGTTATCCATTGGTACCCTAAGTTATACCCAATACTTCTGGGTATGGGGGATCATGCGACTCGCTCCTCTTGGATGAATATGGAATGGTTTATCCATTGGTACCCTAAGATATACCCAATTGGGTATGGGGGATCATGCGACTCACTCCTCTTGGATGAATATGGAATGGTTTATCCATTGGTACCCTAAGATATAGCCAATACTTCTTGGTATGGGGGATCATGCGAATCGCTCCTCTTGGATGAATATGGAATGGGTTATCCATTGGTACCCTAAGATATACCCAATACTTCTGGGTATGGGGGATCATGCGACTCACTCCTCTTGGATGAATATGGAATGGTTTATCCATTGGTACCCTAAGATATAGCCAATACTTCTGGGTATGGGGGATCATGCGACTCACTCCTCTTGGATGAATATGGAATGGTTTATCCATTGGTACCCTAAGATATAGCCAATACTTCTGGGTATGGGGGATCATGCGACTCGCTCCTCTTGGATGAATATGGAATGGTTTATCCATTGGTACCCTAAGTTATACTCAATACTTCTGAGTATGGGGGATCATGCGACTTGCTCCTTTTCCATGAAACCAGGATAATTTACCCGCCGGTACTCTGAGATATACCGACACTTCTAGGTGTGGGTGGTCATGTGATTCATTCCTCTTCCATGAAACCAGGATGGTTTACCCACCGCTACTCTGAGAGTTACCCTATACTTCTAGGTGAATGAGTAGGAGTGCATGGTACCCCTATATCATTCACAAAAATAAAAAAATGAAACCTAGAAATAAAGGCACACAAACATTTGATACGTCCTTTATTAAAAACAAAACAAACAAACAATGTCCCTCACTGTAGATCCAGCGTCTTGTGGGGGCTTGTTGCAATGTTTTTTTAAGAATACCCTCGTCAAAAACAAGCGTTGAACCCTTGCAATGCCGGGATAGCCGCACTTTGTGTCTTCCCCAGGAATTCAGTTTTACGCACTGGAGTAAAGATTCATCCGTGACTTTCTTACGGGTCGGATACTTTGCATGAAGATTTGGCCTTACGCCAGACAACCCCCCCCCCCTTTCATTTTACTAAGCTCATGTTAGCTCCGTTTAAGGACAGACACTTCTGATTGGTTAGTGCTCCAAGTGACATCACTCCCCTTTGTGATATGGATAAGGCTGGATAAAATGGATTTAAAGGAAAAGTCCCCATAATCCTTTGCTGAGCTCTTAACTAGTTGTTGGAGTAGTTCTAGTAATCTTATAGAGATCTTATCAGTCCTGTGCGTTGTGCGATGACCCATCATGGTCAGGGTGAGGCTCTGTGCAGAAGAAATACGTATTTCCCCGGATAGGTCACTTCTGGGTATGGGGGTCATGTGACTCGCTCCTCTTCCATGAAACCAGGATGGTTTACCTGTCAGTACTCCGAGATATACCCAATATGTCTGGGTATGGGGGATCATGTGACTCACTCCTCTTGGATGAATATGGAATGTTTTATCCATTGGTACCCCGAGATATACCCGATACTTCTGAGTATGGGGGTCATGTGACTCACTCCTCTTCCATGAACCGAGATGGTTTACTCGCCGGTACTTCGAAATATACCCGATACTTCTGGGTATGGGGGTTATGTGACTCGCTCCTCTTCCATGAACTGGGATGGTTTACCTGTCGGTAGGCCAAGATATACCTGATATATCTGGGTATGGGGGATCATGTAACTCGCTCCATTTTCATGAATATGGAATGTTTTATCCATTGGTACCCTGAGATATATCCGATACGTCTGGGTATGGGGGTCATGTGACTCGCTTCTCTTCCATGAAACTGGGGTGGCTTACCCGCCGGTTCTCCGAGATATACCCGATACATCTGGGTATGGGGGTCATGTGACTCACTCCTCTTCCATGAACTGGGATGGTTTACCCGCCGGTTCTCCGAGATATACCCGATACATCTGGGTATGGGGGTCATGTGACTCGCTTCTCTTCCATGGAACCGGGAAAGTTTACTCGCCGGTACTCCGAAATATACCCAATACTTCTGGGTATGGGGGTCATGTGACTTGCTCCTCTTCCATGAACTGGGATGATTTACCTGTCGGTACGCCGAGATATACCCGATATGTCTGGGTATAAGGGATCAAGTGACTCACTCCTCTTGGATGAATATGGAATGTTTTATCAATTGGTACCCGAGATATACCCGATACTTCTGAGTATGGGGGTCATGTGACTCACTCCTCTTCCATGACCTGGGATGGTTTACCCACCGGTACTCTGAGATATACCCGATACTTCTGGGTATGGGGGTCATGTGACTTGCTCCTCTTCCATGGAACCAGTATGGTTTACCCACCGGTACTCCGAGATATACCTGATACTTCTGGGTATGGGGGTCATGTGACTCACTCCTCTTCCATGGAACCAGTATGGTTTACCCACCAGTACTCCGAGATTTACCCCATACTTCTGGGTATGGGGGTCATGTGACTCTCGCTCCTCTTCCATGATACCAGGATGGTTTACCCGCAAGTACTCTGAGATATACCCGATACTTCTGGGTATGGGGGTCATGTGACTCGCTCCTCTTCCATGGAACCCGGGATGACTTCTGGGTATGGGGGATCATGTGACTTGCTCCTCTTGGATGAATATGGAATGGTTTATCCATTGGTACCCCGAGGCCACACAAGTTTGGCGGTCTTTAGCTATTGACTCTGCAGACAATTGGTGACTTCTGCGCACTGTGCACTTCAGCATGCGCTGACCCCGCCCTGTCATGTGACATGGCCTACCACTTGGTGGCTGAGTGGCTGTTGTTCCCAGTTGCTTCCACTTTGTTATAATCCCACTAACAGTTGAGCGTGGAATATTTAGTAGCCAGGAAATGTCACGGAGGGACTTAGTTGCCCAGGTGACCACCTATCACGGGACCACGCTTGGAGTCATTGAGCTCCTGAGAGCGACCCATTCTTTCACCAATGTTTGTAGAAGCAGTCTGCATGCCTAGGGGCTGGATTATATACACCTGTGTCCATGGAGGGGATTGGAACACCTGAATCACATGATATGGAGGGGATTGGAACACCTGAATCACATGATATGCAGGGGATTGGAACACCTGAATCACATGATTTGGAGGGGATTGGAAAACCTGAATCACATGATTTGGAGGGCAGGGCCAATACTTTTGGCAATATAGTGTATGTGGAAGGTGCACATGCCATGTCTTGGCTCCTCTGCAAGTGTCACTCCTATCCTGTGAGAATACTGACAATGGTACGCAGGTAGAAGCAGCCGGGCGCAGAGATTACAGTGTTATAGGGTGTAGATCTGTCCTGTGGAGGAATGAAAGTGGAAGAACAAGCTGCAATTAGGAAATACATAATATTGACTAACCGAATCCACACCTAGAAGTGCACAATGGCTCCTTGTGGACTCCATCCAGAGAACGGCATGACGTCTCCGACAAGTCACAGCTCAGCCTGCCGTCACATCGATGATGGACATCTGGGTGGAGGGTGGAGGGGCACAGACTTCAGTATTTATTCTCTGGCATGAATGAAAAGAAAAAAGGAAACAAAGTTGAACTGTTGGCCGTGGTGACCATTCAGAGTTCACCTTTAATTCTCCGGGATACTTTGGGTGTCAGCTCCATTTTTATTTCCTGTTTCATTTCTGTATTCATGAATGCAAATCTTTGCTTTGCTCACAGAGCACCCTATTCCTGTGATCAAAGGATCACGTCAACAAAAGTTGATGTTTCAGTTTTGGATAGAGGGAAAGAGCGTTAAAAGCCAATTTAAATGGCAAATTAAGGCTCCATTCACACTTGTAGGACTCCAAAGTCATGCAACTTTGGATGGGTGCAACTTGGATATGACTTGTCCCTCTACAGCAGGATTCTGTGGAACCTTAGTGTTCCTCCAGAGGTTGCCAGGGGTTCCTTCAGCAATCAGCATTTTTTGCCTCTCAGATAAGTTCCCATTGACACCACTGATCTTTTAGCAATCTGTAATAAATGTGATGAGAAAAGGTATTTAGCGGTTTATATTTACTAAAATAATTGCATTTTGCAGGGTCCGGGGAGAGCGGATATAGTGAATGCGGGGTCCGGGGAGAGCGGATATAGTGAATGCGGGGTCCGGGGAGAGCGGATATAGTGAATGCAGGGTCCGGGGAGAGCGGATATAGTGAATGCGGGGTCCGGGGAGAGCGGATATAGTGAATGCGGGGTCCGGGGAGACCGGATATAGTGAATGCGGGGTCCGGGGAGACCGGATATAGTGAATGCGGGGTCCGGGGAGAGCGGATTTAGTGAATGCGGGGTCCGGGGAGAGCGGATTTAGTGAATGCGGGGTCCGGGGAGAGCGGATATAGTGAATGCGGGGTCCGGGGAGAGCGGATATAGTGAATGCGGGGTCCGGGGGAGAGCGGATATAGTGAATGCGGGGTCCGGGGAGAGCGGATATAGTGAATGCGGGGTCCGGGGAGAGCGGATATAGTGAATGCGGGGTCCGGGGAGAGCGGATATAGTGAATGCGGGGTCCGGGGAGAGCGGATATAGTGAATGCAGGGTCCAGGGAGAGCGGATATAGTGAATGCAGGGTCCAGGGAGAGCGGATATAGTGAATGCAGGGTCCGGGGAGAGCGGATATAGTGAATGCAGGGTCTGGGGAGAGCGGATATAGTGAATGCGGGGTCCGGGGAGAGCGGATATAGTGAATGCAGGGTCCGGGGAGAGCGGATACAGTGAATGCAGGGTCTGGGGAGAGCGGATATAGTGAATGCAGGGTCTGGGGAGAGCGGATATAGTGAATGCGGGGTCCGGGGAGACCAGATATAGTGAATGCGGGGTCCGGGGAGACTATATATATAGTAAATGCAGGGTCCGGGGGAAAGTGGATATAGTAAATGCAGGGTCCGGGGAGAGCGGATATAGTGAATGCGGGGTCCGGGGAGAGCGGATATAGTGAATGCGGGGTCCGGGGAGAGCGGATATAGTGAATGCGGGGTCCGGGGAGAGCGGATATAGTGAATGCGGGGTCCGGGGAGAGCGGATATAGTGAATGCGGGGTCCGGGGAGAGCGGATATAGTGAATGCAGGGTCCAGGGAGAGCGGATATAGTGAATGCAGGGTCCAGGGGAGAGCGGATATAGTGAATGCGGGGTCCGGGGAGAGCGGATATAGTGAATGCGGGGTCCGGGGGAGAGCGGATATAGTGAATGCGTGGTCCGGGGGAGAGCGGATATAGTGAATGCGGGGTCCGGGGAGAGCGGATATAGTGAATGCGGGGTCCGGGGAGAGCAGATATAGTGAATGCGGGGTCCGGGGAGAGCAGATATAGTGAATGCGGGTCTGAGTAACACTTTAAGTTGCACATATATGAATGGTTATCATCAGAAAACAACTCTGATGTCCACAGTCACATGACAAGTTGCACAAGTGTGAATGGGGTCTCAATGGACTAAATGCATTCCAAAAATGTTAGACAGCAGCCACAGCTTGAGTGGAAAAGTACCTTTGCACTTTGTGTGGAAGCAGTGGTCTCTCTGCAGAGGTCTGGCATGCCTGAATGCCGAATCATAGCTAGAACTCACCAATCAGCAAGGAGCATGAGCTTCAGTGATGAAAGAGCTCTAGATATGACTCTACAGGCGGCACACTGAGAGCGACCCATTCTTTCACAAATGTTTGTAGAAGCCGTCTGCATGCCTAGGGGCTTGATTGTATACACCTGTGTCCATGGAGGGGATTGGAACACCTGAATCACATGATTTGGAGGGCGGGGCCAATACTTTTGCCAATATAGTGTATCTCTCAAAGACCTGGCTGTTGCAGCCGATGGTGGAATGGAGTGTTAAGGGGTTTAGAGCCCCTGTCAGGTTCTTATTGCTGTGTCCCCTATGGGATTTCCCTTTACTTCCTATCCCAGTGTGCGCTGAATGTGACTTTGTCTGAATCTCATTGTGTATCTGCGTTGACTGTGTACATTGGTCGCTGTAATATTTGTAGATGAAGTGTACAGCCAGTTCAGTGTGTCTATGGTGTGTTCTGTACAGAGGTCACAAGGTGCTCCCTACCTGGGCGTAACAGCATGGAGAGAGGTACAGATGTCATTAGGAAAGAAAAGCAATAAAAACCTGGCTGAGGCTCTACAATGCAGCAGAAATACATGGAAAATGCGGCGCTTTCGTTTTTTATGCGTTTTTGTTGGTTTCTCCCGCATGACAACAGACACCTCCCTAAAAAAACGCATTACAAAGTGTCAAAACTGCCTGTATAAAAATCACAAAACGCACCTGGAAAATGCATCAACTGCAACTTGCATAGGTGTGAACCAAATCCAGGTTTTGCAGTGCATTTTGTCCATTTAACATGTTTTTCTATGGTCCACGTTCACATCTGTGCGTTTTTTGGCTTGGGTCAGGAACTTTTTTATTTGCAGCAGTTTGCGTTTTTTTGGCTCCATTGAAATGCACCAAAAAAAACGCAAGTTGTTTCTGATGCGTTTTGAGATTTACACCTGAATCACAACAAGCACCTCCCCTTAGAAAACTTGCCAAAAAAAGGCAAATGCTTTGAAACTGTGTTTTCAAAAAAAATGCAAAACGCGCCTGAAAAAACGCATCATTCACAACACGCATAGGTGTGAGCCTAGCCTAAGGCAAACAGATCCCGTTTTAGTTGGAATCTTGCCTGGGGGGGTTCCATGAGGCTGAGAAATTAGAAGAGCTGGACTGGTTTGGCCAGACAGACCGTCTGCTTCAGAGTCAAATTGCTATCAATGTTCCTGTGATGCTACCGACCTGTCAGGCAAAACCAGTCCGGCTCTTTGTTGGAGCTTCAATCCCCTTATGATGTTCTGTTGCAACAAAATGCGTTGGGCGGGGCTTAATTGGTGATGTCATGGCACCCTCTGACTGCTGTAAGCATTAGTGTAAGTAAAAATACTGTCAGAAAATCCAACAAGCTCCTTACTTCCGGTTAGCTGACAGTTCTGCCTCTGCTGCACTGAAATCCCACTCAGTGTTGTCAGCTCTGCCTGTGTTTTGCCCTGCTGAACTACAAAACACTTTCCCCACGTTACGGAGAGGTCCCACCTCCAAGCGGCGTCCCATCGATACAACCCCTACCCACCTTCCAAGCACAATCCCTTGGTTCCACCCCCTACCCCACCTCCAAGCGCCGTACCTTGGTTCCACCTCCAAGCACCGTCTCTTGGTTCCACCCCCTACCCACCTTCCAAGCACCATCCCTTGTTTCCACACCCTACCCACCTCCAAGCGCCGTCTCTTGGTTCCACCTCCAAGTGTCATTCCTTGGTTCCACCCCCTACCCACCTCCAAGCACCGTCTCTTGGTTCCACCCTCTACCCACCTTCCAAGCATCGACCCTTGTTTCCACCCCCCTACCCACCTTCCAAACACTATCCCTTGGTCCCACCCCCTACCCACCTCCAAGCGTTGTCCCTTGGTTCCACCTCCAAGCATCATTCCTTGGTTCCACCACCCCCTACCCACCTCCAAGCATTGTCCGTTGGTTCCACCTCCAAGCAGCATTCCTTGGTTCCACCCTGTACCCACCTCCAAGTGCCGTCCCTTGGTTCCACCCCCTACCCACCTTCCAAGCGCCATCCCTTGGTTCCACCCCCTACCCACCTTCAAGCGCCGTCCCTTGGTTCCACATCCAAGCGCCAATCCTTGGTTCCTCCCCCTACCCACCTCCAAGCACCGTCTCTTGGTTCCACCCCCCTACCCACATTCCAAACACTATCCCTTGGTTCCACCCCCTACCCACCTCTAAGCACCGTCTCTTGGTTCCACCCCCTACCCACCTTCCAAGCATTGTCCCTTGTTTCCACCCCCTACCCACCTTCCAAACACTATCCCTTGGTTCCAGCCCCTACCCACCTCCAAGCGCGTACCTTGGTTCCACCTCCAAGCACCGTCCCTTGGTTCCACCCCCTATCCACCTCCAAGTGCCGTCCCTTGGTTACACCCCCTACCCACCTTCCAAGCGCCGTCCCTTGGTTCCACCCCCTACTCACCTTCAAGCGCCGTCCCTTGGTTCCTCCTCCAAGCGCCATTCCTTGGTTCCACCCCCCTACCCACCTCCAAGCGCCGTCCCTTGGTTCCACTCCCTACGCACCTCCAAGTTGGAGGTGTTCTGTAGTCCAGCAGAGAAGAACATGGGTGACAGTGTTGGTTGGGATTTCAGTGGCAACATACACTTTTACCACTCATTAAAAATTCAATGTAACATATCCAGCAGGCACATAACAACCTTGGGTACTTCCCTTACCTTGCTTGCCTTCCCTTTTATTGCAATTTCCCTATGCTTAGTCTGAGCTCTGCTGTTCTGTGGAACATGAGCAGCTGATCTGAAACCAAATTCAAGTATTTACAAAAGGTGTATATAAAATGTGTGCCTGTAGTTCATCCTTTAAGCAAATCTGTCATGAAAAGGATAGCCCCCATACCCAACCATTGCTGGTTTCCTTATCAAACTGCTAACTGAATGATTATTATCTTGTTCCAGTTGGGTAAATTGTTTCAGAGACAGTATAAGGCAGGCCATTGATTATGAAATTTTCTTTCCTGCAACCACGGGTTGCCATCCCTGCTGAGAGAACACAATTATTGCTAGAGTCTATAGCTTCTGCCAGTAATCCCATCCTAAGAATCCGACATGCTGGTTGTACCCAAGCTGGTCAATGGCTACAAATCAAGAAGTTGGAGAAAAGTCTAAGGATCTGATCCTGTTTAGAGTCAGTAATTCAAACAAGATTATCACTAGAGGGGTCACTAGGAGGAGGAAGGGGTCCTGATTCCTCTGTATAGATCTTTATACCACTAGAGGGATTACCGGCAGGAGGAAGGAGGTCCTGATTCCTCTATATAGATCTTTATATCACTAGAGGGGTCACCGGCAGGAGGAAGGAGGTCCTGATTCCTCTATATAGATCTTTATATCACTAGAGGGGTCACCGGCGGGAGGAAGGAGGTCCTGATTCCTCTATATAGATCTTTATATCACTAGAGGGGTCACCGGCGGGAGGAAGGAGGTCCCGATTCCTCTATATAGATCTTTATATCACTAGAGGGGTCACCGGCGGGAGGAAGGAGGTCCCGATTCCTCTATATAGATCTTTATATCACTAGAGGGGTCACCGGCAGGAGGAAGGAGGTCCCGATTCCTCTATGTAGATCTTTATATGACTAGAGGGGTCACCGGCAGGAGGAAGGAGGTCCCGATTCCTCTATGTAGATCTTTATATCACTAGAGGGGTCACGGCAGGAGGAAGGAGGTCCCGATTCCTCTATGTAGATCTTTTTATCACTAGAGGGGTCACCGGCAGGAGGAAGGAGGTCCCGATTCCTCTATATAGATCTCTATATCACTAGAGGGGTCACCGGCAGGAGGAAGGAGGTCCCGATTCCTCTATATAGATCTCTATATCACTAGAGGGGTCACCGGGGGAGGAAGGAGGTCCCGATTCCTCTATATAGATCTTTTATATCACTAGAGGAATGACCGGGAGGAGAAGAAGGTACTGATTTCTCTATATAGATCTTTATATCACTAGAGGGGTCACCAACAGGAAGAAGGAGGTCCTGATTCCTCTATATAGATCTTTATATCACTAGAGGGGGTCACTGGCAGGAGGAAGGAGGTCCTGATTCCTCTATATAGATCTTTATATCACTACAGGGATCACCAACAGGAAGAAGGAGGTCTTGGTTCCTCTATATAGATCTTATATCACTAGACTAGAGGGATCACCAACAAGAGGAGAAAATACACAGTGGAGAAAATAATTATTTGATCCCCTACAGATTTTATAAGTTTGCCCTCTTACAAAGAAATAAAGGCTTTATAATTTTTATCATAGGTGTATTCTAAATGATAGAGACAGAATATCAACCAAAAATCCAGAAAACAAAACCATGATACAAATGTTGAGTTGCAGTTCAGAGAGTAAAATAAATATTTGATCCCCTACCAACCATTAAGAATTCTGGCTCCCACAGACTGGCTATGTGCTCATGTGGTACACAGATTAGTCCCGCCAATTGAAGAAGGTGCTCTACGACAACTCGTTATGTGTATATAAAAGACACCTGTCCACAAAATCTCATTCATCCTCACCATTATGGGCAAGACCAAAGAGCTGTCA